AGGTGCTTCCTATGGCAGTGCTGCACAGTGTCACCACCCTCTGCATGAAGACACTGAACTTTCCTCATAGAGATGCATTGATTCAATGTATTTTTATTAGGAGATGCTGATTGGCCAGTGCTGTGTTTGTATTGTGCTGACTCTGTCCCTGATCTGCCTCCTTGACAAGTTCAGCCAATCTCATGCTTTCCAATTGGAACACATTGTGATTGGCTCAGATCAAGACTTCTGATGATGTCAGCCAAGCAGACAGATCAGGGGCAGATCCAGCAGCAGCAGACTGAAATAAAGGTAAGAGTTTACTATATTTAGAGGGGCAAAGGGGGAGGGAGAGGGCAGGGGAGCTAGATGGTGGTTTTAACACTATAGGGTCAGGAATACATGTTTGTGTTCCTGACCCTATAGTGATCCTTTAAGTTACCCACCAATGCAATTATAGAAGGTCCAAGGCACACTCGCCAAAGGTGATTTTCTGCTCGCCGGGGAAAGTGGTAATTTCGAGTCCTGCTCCTAGTACAATAAATGCATACATTTCACTAGAACTCACTTGTTCTTGTCTCTTTATGTTTGTTGCTTTTCAGTATGATAACAAAGAGGAAAACAACATTTTCCTCTTCCAGTAAAAGTACTTGTATGGCCTTTGATATGTGCACTCAGGACCAGGCAGAGTTTACAATGAGATTGTATGAAATAGTCTGTTTCTCTCAATAGCTGCTCTCTGTTGTTATTTGAAAGTTGTTCTTTGTTTTTGACCACTTTGCAAAAGGAAGTTACAGGTATTTAAATGTACTTTTGTGACTGGCGTAGCAGGCAGGTTTCAAGGGCAGGCTTTATATGGAAGCTATTTTGAATGCCTTCACTGAAGAATTAAATTCTATATGTATGGGACAGGTGCAGTGATTTTGCTCGATGCCTTAGCTTCCTTATGGGTCACTGTCCAGTTGAGGAATATAACCTTGGTGATGAGAAGCCGTACTTCTTTTCCTGAGTATATACATGTGTAAATATGTAAAGCATGCTTTGTTAGGAATGGGTACTTGAAGGAAGTATAGCATTTCATGAACATTATTCGTTCCAAACAAGCACAGATTCTTCGTAGGTCATACTTCCTTGCCTGTCTTTTTAAATACAAGCTGTTGTTTGCTAACGGAATACACAATTTAACTATGATGATTCTGCTTTTGTGTGCAAAATTCATTTAATTTGTTACCTATAAGAAAAATGTAATGATGATATGTTTTATTTACTTTTAACAGTACATGACCTAGGCCGCAGTGTCACATGAATGGCCAAGTCTGCAGTTAGCCATTACATAGTTACATAGGCTCAAAAGAGACTTGCGTCGATCAAGTTCAGCCTTCTTCACATCTGTTTTTGCTGTTGATCTGAAAGAAGGCAATAAATCCAGTTTGAACCATTTTCCAATTTTGCAACAAACTAGAAAATGTTTTTATTTTTTAACCCCAGAATTGCAGCCATTTGTTTCTCTCCTTCAATCAAGAAGTGGTTACCGCACATATTAAAAATGATGTCTGAATATTGGGGGGGGGTTTTGCAATTATATTTACCGTTCAAATGCAGTCTTTGTTTTAGTTTTTCTCTTGCATAACAACAAATTCAAACTAAGCCTCACTTTTTCACACATGCACTATTCTCAAAAAATCCATACCGAGTGAATGCAATTCATAAACAAGTGAAATGATGGCACTCCAATTAAGATTTACCGCTATGAAAACATGTTTTCTGGGACACACATAATTTCATCATGTTGATTGGCTGCACATGACAAAGCCGTCTTGTATAATGTATATGGTGCAGGACTCCTGATTGATTTATCACCTGATTTACTAACTGCCGCTTTTGGCTTATACATAGCCAATATTATGGGTTGCCTGCATGAATGAAATGCCTTTAATGCTTAACACTCCTCATAAAAATGCATTGATTAAATGCATCTCTATGAGGAGATGCTGACTGGTGCAGCACAGTTGCACGCATGCGCAATAGCCTCACAGTGCTTTCCTATGTTTTCTGAGATATACTCACACACTGCACATTCCTGTGCATTGTATTGATGAGGTGATCTGTAATACACTCACAAACTGCACCTTACTGTGAGTTAAATTACTGTAGAGCTTTTGTTACACTCACACGCTGCACTTTCCTATGCATTTTGTTGCTGAGGTGATCTGTGATGTAATTTCACATCGCACATTACTGTGAGTTGTATTGCTGTGGAGCGGTGCAATACATCGATATGCTGCACATTCCTGTGAGTTGTGTTGGGGCGTGATTGCATGCTAGGGAGTGGGAGGGTGAGATCCAGGGGGGGCCTAAGTAAATTCTTGCACAGGCTCCAATCAATATTAAAGACTGTTCTGATTGCAGCACTAAAAAACAGGGAGCTCCAGGTATATTTCTGTACCTGAGGGTCACCTCTGTGAGCTGGGGCCACGGTTAGTGGTTCCAGACAAACAGATGAACTATGTGCTGTGCTCAAAGGAATTTGATACATTCAATATGTGAGGTCATGGGCTGCTCTGACATCATGCATTGTGCTTTCATATCGAACTGCTATTATCCTTTGTTGTTTGCCTTCGATAGAGATGGTCTGCAATTTTTTTTTTACTGGGCTGCTTTTTATTCTTAGTCCTGCTTTGAATATGATGTCTGGTTTTTAATGATTTGACATTTGTTGTCTGTAGTGGTAAAGAGTACAGGTCTATCAAGTACAATGACATAATGGGCATGGCATAGTGTAAAGTTCAACAGGGTATGCAGTGGCATACAGTAGACAGGAGCAGAGTGCAACGTTTTGAGAGGTGCACGGAGATGTGCAAGAGACCTGCTGAATCTCATGATTTACGTAGTAGTCGGGAACTCAAAGTGAATTTCAAACCGAAGGCCAACAGGGTCCTGTCCTGCCATCCTGATTATAGTTTCCTGGTGTTCGCGAGCACTCCCCGCATGGTCCTGTAGGCAAAGGACTGGCTGGGAGGCTGTCTGTTAGCACAACGTGCTTGACACAGGCTGACATGCAGGGCCGCCATCAGGGGGTGACAACCTTGACGGTTGTCACAGGCCCGGCGGCCCTGGGGTGCCCAGCTGCCCAGGCCACACGTGGAGCGGCGAAACTGCCACAGGTGCCTGTCATTTAGCCCAAGCATTTAGTTTGTGTGTGTGCCTGTCATTGAGTGTCTGTTTAGGTGACTGCCCCCTCTCTCCTCCCCCCCCCCCGCTTTCAATCACATGGGAAATGTGTCTTTACTCTCCTCTTGGTGCAATGGGCCACTTGACTGGATTTGACCCCCAGGCCTAAGGCTGCCAGCCCTCCCCTGTCTGTGTGTGTGTGTGTGTGTGTATGTCAGTATGTGTGTATGTATGTATATCTCTATATATCAGTATGTATGTGTGTATATATGTCAATATGTCAGTATGTATGTATGTATATATGTCAGTATGTAAATATATCCGTATGTATGTATATATCTATGTGTGTATGTATGCCTGTATGTCAGTATGTGTGTGTGTATGTATGTATCCTTATGTGTGTGTGTGTCAGTTTGTATGTGTGTGTCAGTATGCGAGTATGTATGTACGTCAGTGTGTGTGTGTCTGTATGTATATATGTGTGTGTGTGTGTGTGTGTGTGTGTATCTGTATCTCCTTATGCATGTGTGTGTGTGTGTCTGTTTCAGTATTGGTGTGTGTTCCTGTGGGCTGGATTTGGAGGTGGGGCTTGGATGCGGGCACCCGGAGCTGTGTTAGGGGCCCCAAAATTTGATGGCGGCCCTGCTGACATGCCCCTTCAGTGGGCAGGTATGCCCCTTTATAGGCATCTTCAGTGAAGCACCTTCTACTGGTGTCGCCATATATTTTTAATTATTATTTTTAAATTTTTTTAAATTCTTTATTTTTGCGGTGCATATATGTAACACTCTCTCTTGTAATGCCCCAACAGCTATTACAAGAATTGGAAAATACACATTTTAACAAGGTCGAGGTACAAGCGATTATTGCACACATATTTATTTTTTTTTTAAGAATAATGAGTTTTCAAGCTAGTCAAATCTGTCTGATTTAGACATAAACAAGTTAGATATTCAACAAGTGCTATCCAGACATGTATAAGGGTGAGAAACTAGGCTATCCGACATAGTATAAGACCAGAGTATGTTTAGAAGTGACTGACAGCATGTCTAATGAAATGAGAAGTCGCTAGGAATGCCGTCCCCCCTTAGTGATGTGAGGAAGGTAGTACCGGTGCATTTAAAGGTGGGAAGCACCCAGATGCCTCCACGTCCATGAAGGTCTTTAAAGGACCACTATAGTGCCAGGAAAACATACTCACCCCACCCTCAGGGTCCACCTCCCGCCCGGCTCTGGAAGGGGTAAAAACTTACCTTTTTCCAGCGCTGGGCGGGGAGCTCTCCTCCTCCGATCCTCCTCTTCTCCTCCCATGCGGCTGAATGCGCACGCGCGGCAAGAGCTGTGATTTTCACAGTGAGAAGCACGCAAGCGCCTCTAGCGGCTGTCAATGAGACAGCCACTAGAGGAATTGGGGGAAGGCTTAACCCATTCTCTGAAACTGCTATGTTTATAAAAGAATGTGTTAAGCCTAGCTGGACCTGGGACCCAGACCACTTCATTAAGCCGAAGTGGTCTGGGTGCCTAGAGTGCTCCTTTAAGTATGGTTGCTATGATTTGGTAGAGGCTAGGGCCCCCTCAGGATGGTCAGTAGTGTGTGTAGTCAGGATTGGGGGGGGAGGGGGAGGATGTTGGGTCAGCGTCAATGTGAAGCATTTGCCGACTGTGATGTACAATGATAGGAGTCAGAGCTATAAACTGTGTTCAAATGAACACGTCCCGGGGAATTGAGCAAATTATGTGAGAACACGTGAGAAACAATTAAAGTAAATTAGAAATGTAACTGAAAAAACATTTAAACTGCTTAAGGTTTTTTTTAAATAATAAAAAAGTTTTGCATATTTGCTGACAGTTCAGGATCCCAGAGCTGCCAACGGATCTCCCCTCTGAGCCGCAGGAACGATCGGACGAACCTTTGCGGGATCCCAGCAAGCTGATGTTGAAGGTGGTGGCTGAGTCAGCTCTGTGGCTACCTGCGTGGACAGCCCTAGGGCCCGTATAGCGTCAGGGATTTCGTCAGTGGTAGTGACTTTCAGGTCGCCATTGTCCTTCTGGATGATTAGGCTTCTTGGCGTTCCCCAGCGGTATGGTATTGTGTGGGCGAGGAGCTCCTTTGTTAGAGGGCACGGAGAGCGTCGCCATTCCAGGGTGGCTCTGGACAGGTTTGGGAAGAATGGTAAGGAGTGTTCCTCAAATTGATAAGGTGACCTGTTGCGGATGGCCGCCATGAAGGCCAGTCGTTCCCGACTTTGCTGGAAACGGACAATTGTATCCCTGCTAGTGCCCTGGGTGCCTGTGTTTGGTTTGGGGATTCTGTACCACCCATCCAGAGGCATCGCCTTAGCTTGTCTGGCAGAGAATAGTGCAGTGAGTAGTCTGCGAACTAGGTGTGGAAGTTCTGTAGGCTCCAGGGTCAGGCAGTTCTCTGATTTTAATATTTTTCCATCGCCTCTTATCTTCCATCGCCGCCATATTTTCCTGGGCCAGCATTTGGGACCGCTGTAGAGTTGTTAGTTGTTTCTCCAAGGATGGTCTGCAGAGTTCAGCTCTCTGCGGTGTAGGCTTGCCAATACTCCTTTAATTTCCTCCCGGAACTGCCCAATATCAGTCGCTATGTTCCGGCATAGCTCGTCCAGGAGGCTCCGCAAAGTGTCCACTGTGACTGGAGGCTTTGCTGTGGACGTGGGCCTCAGTGGCACAGGTTTGGTAGGTACTCCGGTGTCATATTTCCCCCGTCTGTCGAGAGCTCATCACTAGATGAAAGCCCGTCCGACACTGGTGCCATTTCAGGCCTTCCGGTGGATTACTGCCTCCTCAGGAGATCCCCAATGTCGGCTGTTGCAGAGGGTCTCTCAGGTTTATATTTCTTATTGCGGTGCCCCAGGGCTTCAGCGAGGTATGTAGCAGCATAGTGTACAGGTGAGTGATTGATTTCCCGTGATAAATGTTCAATTTTGGTGGTTTGGCTCTGAGCTCGAGGGAGATGCTTTTTAGTATGGCCGCTGGCTCCGCCCCCCTGGTGTCGCCATTTTGATGACCTGCCCACCAATCCCGATTTTTATTCCTCCTCATGTATTGAAATATGTCAATGTGTATATGACTATGCATGTTAATACGCTGTCTTACTAGCCGTAAACCCAACATTCTGTATCCTCCTGTACAATTTCAGTGGGGTATGCAAACATTATGCTAAAGAGATTTATTAACTCTCTGTAGTCAGGTGTAATATCACTAATATGTGAATTGTGATTAATATTACAAATAGCCTGTGTATTGTCTAAGGATTACATACTTGCTCATGTTGTGTTTTTTATTCAAGTCTTGTACATTCTATTATTAGCTACCATTTCACGTTCAGGGTTCAGCTTCTCGGCCAACTGTTTACAGATGTATCAGTAAGTGAGCTTAGACAAATACAAACCTTGGTTTTAAAATGAGTTTTTAATCCCTTTGTTTACCCTGTTTTCTTTGGAACTCTCATTTAGAGTAACGCGTCTGGTCCTGTTGTTTGTAATACGGAGGACTGCAGTAAATTACCAAACTGAAACTTCAACACACTTCTGTTTGTTAAAGGTTTTAGTTTTAGAATTTATTTGGGGTAATAACGGTTTGGACGCACTCCTATCTACATTATACATTTAGTTTATATTTTGTTTGAGAAAGTAAAGTTTCAGGAATCAAGGGGTCTATTAAAGGGTAACTTTAACACGTTGGAGTGGGGTGCTTTTTCTGTGTAAAATGCCCTATTGGGGATTATGCTTGAGGTCCCCCGCTACGCATGCAGTAAAACCTGCAAAAAAGGTTTTACTTAACTTGAATTCATTGCTGGGCAAAGCTTGCATTGCTGCCTTCTACGCCAAGGTACAGGGGCAATGAGAGCCAATGACTGGACGAGAGAGGGTTTTTTGTTTTTTCTTACAAAAAAAAAATAACAATGGAGGGAGGCTAGAGGGACCGCCCACAGGCAGGGTGGGAGGGGAGAGCTAGATTCCCTTTGCAAGCGCTCTGCCTGCAAGAGAGGGGAACATTTTAACATCTGTAGGCAGCGTGCTGTGCACGTAAACTATGCACATAATTGATATTAGGAAGGAGGAACAGAGTTCGGGGCTGACAATGTCACGTCTGCTGGGGGTTCAACTAGCTCCCAACCAATTACAAATATCTCTGGATGCACTGCACATACTGATGCGGTCATGGTGGTTGGAGTAACCCTTTAAGTTTAAACTTTTAAAATGATCCTTGTTCATTGATTATCTCTTGTATTATGTTGAATAATAGTGGTTTACTAGCTTCAAAAATATCCATCTATCATCTGCTTGATCAGAATTATAAACTTACCATTCTTTATTTTTAAAAATAACATTTATTTTTAAAAATGTTTTCTTCAAAACACTGACACACATACAGGTACATAGGTACAGACATGAAGATACAGGCACACACACACAGACACACATGCAGATACGCACGCACGCAAAATTTACATATGTTAAGTCACCTAGGGAGAATGGTTTCCCTGGAGTCCAGTTGGCTTAGGCTGATGGGAGTTAGAGGCTCCTTTTATGCCCCCTCTTCTCTGCCTTATCCTTCCACACGGCTCTGTGTTATCTGTAAGGAAGTGATCGACTTTCACTTCCTACCTGTGCTGTTGAGGTCACGCGTTGCAACCCTTTAACACCTGAAAGCATTTTGCCATTGATGGGCCCTATGAGCGTGCCGACCCCAATCCAGTTACACCAGCAGTAGTTACACCGATGTATCCACTTTAAGTTCGGTTTTCTTGCTACATCAAGTTAATAATGTATAATTGCCTACCACATCATATTAGGTCACAGTGACGTTGCTGAGATAAGCTGTACTTGAATATTTAATCCATGTGGAAATTAATATTTGTACATGGGTGCTATTTCCGTTGCTACATTAAATGATGTTAAAGCGGCTCTGTCACTCCTCCCCCTTCCAAAATGAGTATTTCATAAATATAGAATCTATATGAAATACTCAGATTGACGGCGTTGGAATTTCACTGAAATCCCAACCCAGTCCAAAAATATAATGAGACTACTAGGCAGGCCCGGACTGGCCATCGGGCATACCGCGCAAATGCCCGGTGGGCCGCGATGGTCGTGGGCCAAGGCCGGCAGGGGAAATCACAGGATCTCCTCTGTCGGCCCATGCAGAGCCGTTGTTATCCGATCACAATCAGCTCGCTCTACACACACGCAATCCCACAAGCAGACGCCAAACACATGCACAATACACTTTCCTTGCCCTTTTGTCCTCTGGTATCCCACTTATGGAGACACCAGCGACAAGATTAAAAGCAAACACAGCGCAAGCATGTTATTAAATTTGCTTGTGCTGCGCAGAACATATACAGGGCCTTTTTCTCATGCTAGAGCTCTTCATCGGGGCTCTGCGCATTGAACCAACATGCTCACTTTGAGAGAGGGCGTGCTTGTCATTAGTGATGACAAAACACACCCTCTCTGGCTTCACCCCCTTCTCAGAGGGCCACTGTTATTGAAAAATGCCCAGGCTGAATTCTTTTCCTGGTCCGGCCCTGCCAATAGGGACTACTTCCTCTCTATCTTTCCTTCATTTCACAAAATATGAAGCTACCTTTTGTCAAGCTTGTCATTTCCCCAAACCGTCACCAGGATGATGATGGTGGCACGCATGAGTAACATGTTCAGGTAAGTTAAGCCTACCAAGAGCAATTTCACCGCCAAGGGTCTTTGCAAATTATGCAAAAACTCCAGACGAAATATCCAGTATTGATAACAAGACCGGTACTCGCCAACAAAAAAAGGATTTTAAAACCATGGTGCCACACAGACTAGGGTGACTACAAAACCCCAATAACAAATCAAAATAACAAAAAATGTCTGGGCACAGTGTCTTGAGAGAGGCTCCTGTTCGAGTCGAAATATTGCCTGTTTATTTCCATTAAAGTAAGCAATTGGATCTATGTATGCCCACACATTGTTTGTTCTTAAGACTCCAGGCGGTTACTGTCGCTTTAAGAAAATCTGCAACAAGGCACCATTTCAGAAATTCAGAAAATCACAGCTTGATACCACAACCATCCATGGTGTGATATTGGGGAAGTTTGCAAGAGAAAAGACTACAAGTTTGCAAATATATTGCATCTTTAGATAGCGTTGCTGACACAGGCACAGATCACTCATTCTTGATGGGTATGCTACCCTTAGACATTTATTGCTAAGTAGTGAAATAATCCCTTTGGTGCTGCTGTTCTGGGATCTTTGTAGTGGATGTAGTATGCTGCAACAGTGAGTACCCCCTGAAGCCTTGCTTTTTAGTATTAAGACTGATCGCTTTCCTGATGGCAGTCTCCTGATATTCAGTTGAAATACACCATTTCTAAATTTCTTCTTCAGCAAAAGATCGCTTACACCAAAGCATGTCAGAATTGATAAGGTCACTGTTCGTTCCCTTGCAGATTTCTCTAAAAGGTGCTCTTACATTGATGTTTGTAGCATACTAGATACAAGTGTTACTGTGTTATTCTGCCAAAAGAACCTTTACTTTCAGCACAATTTATTGCTGAAAATATTTGGAGTTTAAATCGAATTCATTGAAATTAAGATTTAAATTGCAGATGAGCATGTTATTTTATATGATGTGTGTTGGTATGCATTTGTTTAAACGGATTCAATTAAAAATATCAAAATGTTTTTTGCTTTTTTTTTTTTTTTAAATAATGCATAGAATCTAACACTTTTTCGATAGAATTTTGTATACGTACAATATTGAGTGACCAATAATACCTTGAATACATAACAGATAAGTGCAAGACCTGAGCTGCCCTAAAGCAAGTGCCTCGCAATGCCTCTGCTAGAGGGTGCCCAGCCAGACCTCTGCCCTATGTTTGGCAATATAGAATATCCCAGAGCAATTAACCTGACTTTATAGAATACTGATATACTGCATGCCATTGACCTCTGTAAGCCAATCATTTCTGTGTTCGTTTTGAGAGTCATGCCACATCCCCTGGCATTACGTTGGTTATATGTGGTGGGAACATTTTGGGTTATTGATAAGATATATTTTCAATTACAAATAACATAAATAAACCTCTAGTAACTGGTGTTTATTTGATGATAACACAAACAATCTCAAAATTGGCCAAACTTCATTTAGGTTTTGTCAGAATAATGTTCTCGTAGACTATTTGTGACGATACCTTACCTGTGTCCGCCGATCCCGCGCAGCACGGCGGTTCCCCCGGCTGCTTCTGGGAGGTGGCGCAGCCTGTCAGACGCTGCCCGCTCGTGGCGAAATCAGTTTTGTGACGCGGCGCATGCGCGCC